TCGAATATGTTATCTCATTTAATAAAACTGAAAGCTAGAGAAAGCACAAAATATAAGCTTATCTAAAACATTTATCAAAAAAATTCAAGTATTTTGTGTGTGTGTATATATGATATATATATATATATATATATATATATATATGAAAACAAACAACTAGAGTTTAAAATTCAGGTTAAGATTTTAATACTCCTTCGTGTGGTTTTTGAAATCTTAATTTTAACTCTTATCTCATTGATCCTTATTCAATATATAAGAATCCTTATTCAACAAATGGTGCTGAGAAAACTGGATAGCCACATGTAGAAGACTGAAACAGGACCCACACTTTTCACCTCTCACAAAAATGAAATCACGCTGGGTAACAGACTTGAACCTGAGGCGTGAAACTATTAGAATTCTAGAGGAAAACATTGGAAATACTCTTCTAGACATTGGCCTAGGCAAAGAATTTATGAATAAGTCCCCAAAGGCAATCACAGCAGCAACAAAAATAAATAAATTGGACCTGATCAAATTAAAAAGCTTCTTCACAGCCAAAGAAACTGTCAAGAGAGCAAACAGACAACACACAGAATGGGAGAAAATTTTCGCAAACATCTGATAAAGGGCTGATAACCAGAATTTATTTAGAACTCAGGAAAATCAGCAAGGAAAAATCAAACAACCCTATCAAAAAGTGGGCAAAGGACATGAACAGAAACTTTTCAAAAGAAGACAGAATAATGGCCAACAAGCATATGAAAAAATGCTCGACATCTCTAATCATCAGGGAAATGCAAATCAAAACTGTAATGAGATATCACTTATCTCCAATAAGAATGGCCTTTATCAAAAAGTCCCCAAACAATAAATGTTGGCATGGATGCGGAGAGATAGGAACACTCCTACACTGCTGGTGGGATTGCAAACTGGTTCAGCCTCTGTGGAAAGCAATATGGAGATACCTCAAAGCGATACAAGTAGATCTACCATTTGATCCAGCTATTCCACAACTGGGCATCTACCCAAAAGATCAAATGACACTCTATAAAAAAGACACCTGCACTCAAATGTTTATAGCAGCACAATTCACAATTGCAAAATTGTGGAAATAACCCAAGTCCCCATCAATACATGAGTGGATTAATAAAATGTGGTCTGTGTATACCATGGAGTACTATTCAGCTCTAAGAAACAATGGTGATATAGCACCTCTTATGTTTTCCTGGATAGAGCTGGAACCCATTCTACTAAGTGAAGTATCTCAAGAATGGAAAAACAAGCACCGCATGTACTCACCAGCAAATTGTTATTAACGGATCAACTCCTAAGTGAACATGTAGGAATAGCATTTATCGGGTGTCAGTAGGGTGGGAGTGGGGAGGAGGGGATGGGTGTATACAAACATAATGAGTGAGATGTGCAACGTTTGGGGGATGGTCACGCTTGAAGCTCTGACTCGAAGGGGGAGGGGGAGCATGGGCAATATACGTAACCTTAACATTGGTAACCCCATAATATGCTGAAATAAAAAATATATATAAAAAATAGAGAAAAATTGATTAATCTATTGGCCTATGTTCTGTAGCACTTGAAGCAAAAGAATCAAATGAAAGTAGAATTCCATATGAATCATAAAGAGAAGAATAGTCTTATTTCCCACCGTGTAAGTCCTTGTTTCTGAGAAACAAAAGCTGGGGAGGTGGGTGGGAATGAAGGATGAGGTTCAAGTCTCACCTTGCAGTCTACCTGTTAATACCTCAGTGCTACATCATTAAGATTAATCAGTGGAGGTTTGGGGTTCCAGATTTCATTTATTTCTCCTTAAATTCAAATAACTTTTCAAGAGCTCCTGGACTTTGTATTATTATATAATCTCCAGATACCTGGTAGTAATTGCCAGCTATGATATATATTTCACATTTTTTTTTCTTGGTAGTTGGTTATGGGGAAAATGTTGTTCAAAAGGGAAAATTACTGTGGAGGTGAGCTTATATATGTGAAGAGATGAAATAGTAAAATATGTTAAGCAACATAATGGTTAGAGTCTCTATTCTTAAAGAACATATTTTCAAAATGAGGCAGATACTATGTTTTTAACTTTTATATTATTAGTAGTATATCATCTTTTATTTTCTGGAGTATAAAACTACACTGAAATACATTAAACAGTTCCTATTATGTAATAGCAACTCATAAATATTTGATAAATCTGAATTGTGAAGATACGTCTTACGTATCTGATATTTTGAATGTTATTGTTCCTTCTTGCTTACCCACTTTCTTTTTCTGCCATCCTTCATGTCTTCCTTTTGACTTTATTTAAAAATATTTATTTATATTGGACTTTACACAAAATATAAAAAGAGGACTTTGTGCAAAATGTTGTGTATAAAGTAAAATAAATGCCTACATTATAGGTACTTGGGGTAAGAAGATAAGGCACACAAAAGGTAGAATATTAAAGAAGAAAGACAACAAAAACTTCAGGAGTCCAAGGAAATCCACCAATTCGATTGATCAAGGAAGGCTTTATAATGGAAATATCTGACCTAGTTCACGAATGTATTCATTTACGTATGTTTTTCATTCATTTGTTTAAAAAATACTTTTAAAGATCTGCATTATGTCAAGTATGCTTATAGAAACTGAGAGTTCAGAGATAAATAACATTACTGTAGTCTGTGTTTTCATAGATGTTACCATCTAGTGAAGAAAATGTTCAATTAACAGAATTATACAACAATTACATAAATGTGATAAATGCTCTGAAGGAGACCTGGAGGATGCTAAGAGAGCATATAGATAGAGACATAATTTGGAGATCTCAGGGAATGCTTGGCTGAGGATGTGACATTGAAACTCAATCTCGAAGAATGAGAAGAAATTAGCAGGATGAGGGGTAGAGTTGTGGGAGTCAGGAAGGAAGAATTTCTGGCATAGATGGAACAGTATGTGTGAGGATCCAAGGCTGGTAGGATTTTGACCTCTTTGAGGAATGCAAGGAAAGCCTTTGCAGGAGAAAATGGAGAGGAAAGGAAGGAGGAATATGAAATGATGATGGAGAGATGGGGAGGGGCCTGTGTATGCTAGCCTTGGGGAATTTCAATCTCATCAGTGAAGTAAAACTGGAGGATTTCAACAAAAAATGGCAAAAGAGTGAAAGTAGGTAGTCAGTTACAAGGCTATCTCAGGCGGATTAATGATAACAGTATTTGGTATTGTGTATGGTTTTGGCAATGGAGATAAGGAAAAGTGAGTGATTCAAGGTATGTTTTGGAGCCAGGTGCAGTGGCTAACACCTGTAAGCTTGTATACCAGCTACTCTGGAGGCTGAGGCAGGAGGATCTCTTAAGGCCACGAGTTCAAGACCAGCCTGGGCAACATAGTGAGACCCCTGCTTCAAAAAGAAAAAGAGAGTTCTGTTTTGGGGGGGAAACAGACATGGGCTTATTAATTGGAGAGGAAGTGTCGAGATGATACTAAGCCTTTTGGCATCAGTAATGGCAGATCCTGATGTCCTTTGTAACAATAAGAAATAGTGTGCGAGGTTTAAGATCATGAATTCAAAATCAGAGACATGTGAAAACCATGAGGCATCCACGTGGAGATTTTGGATGGATAAATGAATAGATAAGTTTGCGAGTATGCTGCTCAGAAGAGAGGTCAAGGCTGAGAATGAAAATGTGAGAATCAGGGCATACAGATGGGTTTTGAAGCCATTTGAGTCTAAAGAATGGATATTATTTAGACTAGTAAAATGATATTTTTTTCTGAGACATAATTTTTACCACATGGTTTCAAAATGCATATGCCATTCTTCTGCATGATTTTAATACACTCAAGGAAAAACATTTTCCCCTCTTGAGTAACATTCCTTTTACACAGTAATGTAAGCCAAAGGGAGAATAAAATGTATAAAATTTACTTTACAACGTGAATGATCGGTACTTATCAGTTTTTGAATGGACTTATTGTTGTTGTTCTTTAATTTTTTATCATGAATTCTTCTCCCCACCCACTAATGCACTTTGCTGGTCATATTGGAAGGAATTTGATTTGTTCAATAATTTCTTATGTTAGGCAATTTTGTAAGCAACTTGTTTCCTCCTCACACCAACGAATAGGGTTAAGCATGGAAATATTTTTTAAATGAGCCAGAGTTATAATTATCATCTAATTACTTGCTTTAAAAAGTCCTATTTTAAGTCCCCCTAATAATTCCTTTCATCACATTTTTACAAAATCTTTCCCATCCTAGAGTCTAATTGTCTAAGGAAACATGAAATATGCTAACTCCTAATAGTTTAAAAACAGATTGTATTCGTTAAGCATCTGTGTAATCTCTACTAATGGTATTCAATGACATTCATTTTTTAAGGGAAACACTTCAGATTTCCCGCAATATTATAAGACCTACAATATCCATATTATTGATATAATGGCATAAATTATGAGAAAAACGCAAATAAGCAAAGAAGAAACCCTTTTTGCATGACTTTGAAGGAATTGCTAAACAGAATAGGCGAAGAGTTGGAAAATTCTGCCATTTCTTACAAGAATGTAGCCCTTATCTAAAGTAAGGCTGGAAGTCCTCCTGGGGGCTGAAAAGAGCCCTCATCTTGCAACATCAGTGATAAAATTAAAATCTCTACTGAATTGAATTATCTGCCCAAAACGATTCGTAATGATTTAAAATACTGGCACGATCACAGTATTTTCTTTTTAAATCTGGAGTTTCTTACATTGTCATCATCTTCATCACTTCACAAGTTTACTAAGCTAGGATCAGGCGACTGGTTAATCCATGAGTTGATGTTTTTGCATAAATATCCAGATAGCAGGACTCAATAGCCCTTATGTGCTCCTGAGAATTGGCTGGCATGTATTATTTTTCTCTTTGTAAAATATGTTTTTTTAAAAATGTGACTTTTTTGGAGTAATCGTATTATCTTTTGACGTGTATCCTCACCTTGTATTGTTACTCAGTGTTGTGCTGTGTTTCCTTTGTCCTGAAGGAATTGCCTACGACCCCCTGATGCTGAAACACCAGTGCATTTGTGGCAATTCCACCACCCACCCGGAGCACGCTGGACGGATACAGAGCATCTGGTCACGACTGCAAGAAACTGGGCTGCTAAATAAATGTGAGGTAATCCCACATTGGCCACACTCTTTTACTTACTTAAATAAATCTTGTAAAGAGGCCAGTATTCATTTGGGTAGTGGTAGAAAAATGTTAACCATGTAATGCAAATGCTGTGATTGATGAGCCATCATCCACATGAGCGGCACAGAACTTACCACCTGACCCTGGGCTGGGCACACAGTAGGTGCCCAATCAATGTTGATGAGCTGAGCAGCTGTGTGGTGTGTGTTCTATTGTTATAGCGTTAGTATATACACATGGCAGCATCCTTGTCTCCAAATAGGCATCATTTATTGAGCTCATCTTCTGAGAAACTCTTGGCAAAGTGTTAAGTACAAATTGTTATTTTTTGTTATAAGGTAAATTTTGAATTCGGACATATACCACTTTTGCCTCATAGAAATGAATAGATTTAAAAGATTAACTATCCTCTTAGTCAATAAAAGTCACTGATTTATATTCAAGTGGCTAATATTTTTATAATTTTATGGTGAAGGGTTTGACTAATATCATTTTATCAATATTTCTTTAGACTCATTTCTGTAGATTCCTAGTGGATCCCTTTTTTATTTAGAAAAGAAATCTATTTCTTTAGGCTTTTAAAAGTTAAAAATAAAAGTGACATCAATTCAGAAAGGTTTCCATTGTCAAATTTATAAAATATGTAACAACGAGCAGCTGTTCGATGTAGTTGCTATAAATGTCCATTGTCTCAAATCCAGCAACATTTTGCATTTGAATCTAAAGCAGTTTTTAAAGAAAACTGTCTTCCATGTATTCTCACATGACTTTACACTTATTGATTGAAAATATTTTTTACTTGATCTTTATTGTGTTCTAGACATGTTCCAGGCCCTAGAATTATAAAATTCCACAATACAGATGTGTTCCCTGTTCTTACAGGCTGATATTTTAACATGCTATTCTTTGGTTATATTGTCATTCTATGCATAACAAAGAAGGAAATCCAACATAGTTTTCACCTGTCCAGGAAAATAATTAAGTGGATAGTATTTTGACCATAGTTATGTCATGAGAAAACCGATACATTAGAACCATATTAAATTCACTATACTTCAATAAAATAAAAAGCAATGTTCCATTAGGACTTTTCAGGGTCATATGCAAAGTGCATATGATTAATTGCATATATCAATTCTAAGGTCAGACTTTAAGAAGTGCTGATCATATAATTGTTTATATAGTTGGTATCAATTCACTTCACTTCTTTGCAAACTCTCTATAGTACATTATTTTTAGCATTTCATAATGTAGTCAATGGAATTCCTATTCAAATTCAATTTAGTTTAAACTGAACCTGTAAAATATTTTAGTTGATCTAGAAGTTCAGAAGACAGAATGCTCCTAAAAGCAAATATGCTTGCCTCTATTTTATAGTGTGAGTTACTTTTCTAGTTCATTTATAAGGGTAAATAATTTTTTATAGACTTTTTTCTTTAAAAGGTGAATAGTATATTCCACCTAATAGGGGAACTAAATTGGTTATTTTTCTTACCTCAAATTGTTGATCATATCTTATGGGTCATTCAACAGTTGAGATTGTGAATGAATACACTAAGGCACCGTGTATGGATTTAACCTCACAAGTTTTATTATATGTTTATGATGGAATTATCAAACATTTTTCATATTTAAAGTTCTGCTTTTGATTAAATGTATCCTTTATGTAGAAACTCCAAAGTGAAGGAAAATGAGCTAGATTATTTATCTGATTCTCTTCTGAGTGAAAGTCTATTTTTTATCTTTTGCCAGTGGCATCCATGTTATATGGCAGAAGGCTTTCATATCTTTGGTTAATTTTAGAATTATCTTTAAGGATTTCATGTTTTTGATAATGCACTTTGGAGGCCAAATCATTTTCTTTTTTTACACAATTCCATATGGAGTCCATAAAGGAGACCAGCACGACTTATTTGGGGTAGGCTGGTCTTAATGGACAAAATACATTTATTCACATGAACATTCCAGTCTTACCTTTGCATCTGCTATAGATGTTTTCCTGCTCTGCAGTTTTTCTGTGCTTTTGCCAGCTGAGTCATTGCTGCTTACATTTTTCCACATTCAAGTTTTTGTTATATCCTGCAGCAACTGGCCTGGTCCCAGCCACTTTAAATCGGCAGTGGCTGATCAAGGCCTTCAAATGCATTGTTAGATAATGGTATTCCTAAAACCTATTACCCGAAGGAGAAGTGTTTATGAAAGGAGCAGAATATAGAAATAAATGGAATGAATATGGTTCACACTGGTCTTAAAATTCAGAAGTTTATTATCATCTCTTTCTGGTTGATCTTCTTTTTCAATTCTTCACACATTATGTTATTTTAGTCCTGTATTATTTAAACCATATTATTCAATTTATATAGCACTGACTAATGTGATATCAAACAGGGTGAAATGTCAGAAACATGATGGGGTTGATGAAAATGAGTAAGGCTAGCCCCAGCCTGATCAGATAAACAAGAGTCTCCCTGATAAAACTTAATCATAAATTAACAAATAATAAACTCAAGAGCCCAGATTAGAAGATATGCTCTTAATGAAAATCAAGTACAAACATCTTATCTAAAACTTCACAACAGTACAAACAAAACCCACTCTTCACAACATAGTTTGATGGCAGGTCACCAGGTGTTTGCTTTCTTAAGTACTGAAAATGTTGCCCATATGTATTTATTTGCTTTTATATTACTAAAGAAATTGATGCCCAGATGAATTTGTTTGCTCTGTGACTTTATGAGATGCTAACCTATACTGAAACATGAAATGGAATTTCTAACACCACTGAAAAACAATTCACTTTAGGACACCTAGGAATTTAATGTCCTTCTGCCCTTGGGGGAACAATTTTAGGAATATTCAAAACAGAATTTTAGAAACCATTAACAACACAAATGTTATTCTTTTCTAGAGACTTTTAGTTTTATATAAGACAAAACATAGAACCAAAAGGAAAATATTGTTTTATGACTTATATTTTCTTCCTAATTCTTTTTACCAGAAGAGTAAGGAAGGAAATAAAAATGGAACATACAGAAATTATTCCAAACCAGGTTAGCCCACTCAGAAGTAGTAGAATCTATGTCATTATTGAGCACTCTGCCCAGCCATTACTTTGCTAAGCACAAAGGAAACAGTTGATACAAATTCTTTGTGAATTCCTTCTGTAACTTTTGATTTGTCTAGTTAATTCTTTATTCAAGTTTATTAATACATTATTAAGCACTCTTGCAAGGATGCTAAACCTTCACACCAAATTATTTTGAAAATTTCAATGCTGTGAAAAAAACAACAGAAACTTATCAACAAATATCTTAGCAATTTACAAAATTTTGTATGAATTGGAGTTGTTGAAGAATTAGGAAAAAAGCACACCATAAGAGGTAAGGGAGCTAATGGAGCTAGTACTCTATGTTTATGGTAGGTACTTTGGCTAGTTGAAAGGGCAAAAAGGTTCCTACCCCAAAAGTTTCCTGATTAGTGTTTCTGAACCTTCTAAAGAAATCAAAGCCAGTGACAGTGTCTGCCCACTGGAGTTTACTTGTTCACTCCAAAACAGGAAGTTGAGTCCCAGGTCAGGTGTGAATAACTTACGTGTCAAGACACCCCAAGAATGTATATAAAGAGAATGAAGGCTATTCTTTCTAAATTAGCTAGGAGGGGTATCAGGAAGCAAAACCCTAGCTCCCTTACCTGGTCATGTCTAAAGCCAGCTGGCATGAGGGGATACAATCTCTGCTGTCTGGAACCCCAGGGATTTCAGTATCAGGCCTGATGTCCAGGTTATCATTCTCTCTTAAGCAGTATGGACAATTTCCTCTCTTGGTTTTGGTAAATAAGAACTCAACTCAATTATATCAAAAGAAAGAGTATTTATTAGATTTCACAGAAAATGATATAATCAAATAGGAATATAACGTAGACAAGCTGGGGGAATGTGTTGTTCCTCAGTATCTAGATAGTAATCTGCCAACTTTTGATACTATTTCCTGCCAGGTCTGTGAAGCTACCCTGGGTTAGAAATTGACCTATGCTTTCAGAAGGGAAATCTTAAATGTTGACATATACCAGAATCATTTGGCAGGGTACCAAAACACAGATTGCAGAACTCTAAGCTCAGAGTTCCTGATTCAGTAGGTCTGGAATGGAGTCCAGGAATTTGTATTGCTAACATGTGTCTGGTGATTCTGATAGTGCTGGTCTGGACATCACACCTTGAGAACAGTGATATATCCATTCAATGGTATTTATCAAGACTTTGAGTTTTCTAGGCACCTCTGTTAGAAGCAGGAGTTGAAAAGATACATCGCCTGTCTTCAAGAAGGTTACCATCTGGTGAGATCAGCAGACATTCATCAAATGACCATGTAAATAAATATATAATTACAAACTCCCCAGGGGTTTTGAATCACTAGTTTTATATCGCTGTGAATTTGAAGACTCTATTATTGATTGGGCTTGGGTAAGAAATGAAATGAGAAAGACTGGTCATCTCCTTCCTAGTCTTGACAGCATCAAAGGAGCCCTGAAAGCTGGAGACAGAGGAGGTAATATTATATATCAGCATGTGAAAGAGAAAGTATCCCAGATCTTAACGGAAATAACTTGCCCTTCTATCTTTATTCAGGTTCCTTTGTATATCGGTGTTACTATTTCAGTGGGACCAAAGAGAAGGAGTCTCAGTTCTGTTGGTGTACAGAAGAGAGTCAGCTTTCCTCAACCAACAGAGCAGTCATGTTTACAATTGATAAAATAACAATGAAATGATAGAAAAGAGGGCATTTTGAAAATATTAAAAGGGCTCCTTTGTTTCAAAACAGTACACTTAACCACAAATCAAACTTTTGTTTTATGTCAAGTCATTTGGCAAATTAATGAAGATGGATTCCTTGAAAGGTGATTGTTCAACATTAGATTTGACCTTAGTTCTGCCATCAATTATCTGTATACTTTTGTCAAGTCATTTAACCTTGCTGATCTTTGCT